GAGAACCCCTGGTTTACAGCATAAGACTCTCTCACATCTTTTCTTTTTCATTTGAAGTATACATCTGGTTCTTATACTTAAGGGATTACTTCTATAGCACCGGAGAGTTATCAGTCTATTCATATAAATGTTCATATAGTTTTGTTTTTTAACAACAACAACAACAACAACAAAAACAGGCTACAAAACAGAATTTTTTACCTTTTCTCTAGCTGATAAAAGGCCTTCATCATATAATAATGTTATTTCAGGAAGGCTGAGTACATTGGAAGAGACAATATTTTTGGGGGAGGGGTGTCCTTTATTTAAGTTGTTATTATTTATACAGCACCCTAAACTTAAGCAGCATTTTATTAGACATAAAATAATCACGTTGTCAGGCTCAAACAACATACAGTCTAACTCGGAAAAAAATAAATGCAGAGCAACAGTTTCAGTGTGGGAGAGAGTTGAAAGATCATTTGTTCGGAGTCCAATGTAGGCAGAATTTAGGGGAGAAGTGGCTTTAAAGGAAAGAAACAGAGAGAGAGAGCTCAGAAGACAAGAGGCTGCCCCATACGTAGAGGGGTACCACAGAAGGCCTTGTAAATCTGCAAATGGCAAAATGGGACAAAGGGAGGAGTAAGGACAGACATTGGGAAAAGTGCAGAAAGCAACAGAGGGAGTGGGAAGACGTAGAAACCGAGATATAGGCAGAAGTGAAATACCTTAGTCATTCTTCCTACCCACCCTAGCCCATTTCTGCTTTTATGATGTCTTTCATATATGCTGTGTTTAGACTTGCACACCTATAGAACTAATCTGTTATTCTTTTTTCCTGGCATCTGATGGGCTGGAGACTAACAAACCTCTAAATTATGGCTACATTTATTTTATTGCAACCCAAAGTTTTGAATAATTTTAATATACTATTTTATTGTATTTAAGTTAATATTACAGTGACAAATGGTGATGAATTGTGCTTCAGTGTTTAAATTATTCTTGACCCAGTTACAAATGGAAGAAAATGGTAGACCTGCACATTATCACCTGGCAACCGAAAGTGGAAAAAGACTTCAGTTTCCTCAGCTCCCTTTTTCACAAAATGACAGTAAAGCAAAGCATTTAGTTTGAAGTTAAGTGGGGGTGTTCCTTTTCTCCCTACCCAAAAGGTCAAACAGCCAAGGAACAAGCATTAAAAGTATATAACTTTATACAGCAGCTGGAACTCTGCAATGTTAGAGATGGTAAGGGTATATGTCATAAACTGGGGAAAGGGTGACAATTTGATCAAAGAAGATTGTGCAGTTGGTATATCTATGATAGCTTGGTTAGGACTAGATATTAAGATTCCTAACCTCATTATCCAATCTGGCCTACTGAGGCAGAAGATAGCGGAGAATATTTCCTTTTTTAGAAACATCTTGTTTCTATGAAATATGATTTATTATTTTCTACTATCAGAAGAGTTTTGTTTCTGAAAATCTCATTTTCTACCAAGAATTAATACAATGTGTTGTGAAAGAAAATATACACTGAATATTTTTTTTAAATGAACAATAAACCACATTTTGGAAAATTTACTTATGGTATCTGTAAGGAAATTCTGAACAATATCCAGAATCAAAGATAAAATTGAAATGCTAAACTAAAACCACAATTTTAATGAAATATATGTATTATAATGTTTTCCCTTAAAAATATAGAACTTTGGATTTAAAATTATATATACACTTTTTAAATCTAAAGTTCTATATTTTTAAGGGAAAGCATTATTTTAACAACAACAACATTTTTTTGCAGCTCACAGAAAATACAGGATTTAAAGAAAAAGATTATAAGAACACAGTATGGTACACAAGCCTTCAGGCTCTTTTGACTTTTATTGACCCATATGTCATTTTACTCTTCCTCAAACATTACAACCTTAGGTGAAAAAAGCACAGAAACCCTTTTGAAAAGATATTATTTGAGTACTAAAATGGAATGTAAATGCCACATAAAAATGAAAGTAACTGACCAACAATCTAAAACATGCTACCCCTTTAAATCAATATGCTTTACCTAATACCATGCTGAATTTATAATACAAGAACCAAAAGTTGTAATTTTCTTCTTAATTAGAATCTATAGACCCACCTAAAATCTTAACTAATTCGGGAGACAACACTTTTTATTGACCAGTAAAGTGTTAATATAGGTTCACATCTAAAATTGTCTCTCTATTTTGTACAGTATCTTTCACCATAGCTGAAGATCTGACTGAACTTGGACACCTTGGAAATGCAATAAAAATAGAACAAATCTTTTCAGTAATTTTGCAGAATACATTATTTTCCAGAGATCCATCAAACTGTCAGTCATTGGTAATGTGGTAAAACATCTATTTTAAAAATATGCCACTTTACATAAGGAAAACTGGTACTTTTACACAACCCAGCAATCATGGAACAGCTAGATTCTCCAGACCAGAAGATTCAAGAGATTACTAATTTTTGGATATTCTGATTATTATTAAAACTATATGAAATATCTAGCAGTTGCACTTTTCGTTTAGCTAAACAAAATGGCCTCTTCTGCTGTGTTGAAGCAGGTTCATAGTAACGTAGAGAAACTAAAGACATTACAATCTACAAATATGATTCCATTTTACGATTTTATGAAAAGTCATATCCATATAATTTACTTATCCCTGTAGCATCTTAGTTTAGAATTGTTTCATAAAGATGCCGTACATCAGTCCCAGAATAGTCCAAAAACATGTATTTTGGGAGCAAAAACGCAGTGCTGGAAAAATACAATAAATGGCAGTATTCAAAATTCCACTGAAGACACTGGGAAGTAATTTTAAATACATATTATCCCCACTGCAAAGTCAAATGTAAATTTTAAATACCTATATATTTTATAGATGAAGGCATTAACAGTTATCAAATTAACATTTGATTTATTCACCAAACTAAATAAATGTATCTTTAAAAGTGGTAACAATGATCAGACAGATGATTTTTCTCCTTTTGTTAGAAACAGCTGCCCTAGTCAAGGCAAACGTATTTTCTCTCTTTACTAATACTGCCATGACAGCAGCGCTCATATTGTAGAGATATTCAAAAGAAAAAGACTTTTAAAAGACTAATTTTTTTGCCTTTACTATTTCAATTCTCCATTGTTTAACACATCACTTCTGATAGCATCAGCATTTCATTTTAAATAACATGCTCTCCCAAACTCCATGATGCCACGAGTGAGCCACAATCTAACTAAATAGGTAGGACAAACATATAGGACATCTCAAGAGTCTTTCGGAATTTACTATTCAAAGGTTACATTCCCATCGTGTCTACACACAACAGCGTAATGGTAATGAATTACTGTAGGTACGTTACACAATCCCGCATATTTATAAAACTGATTTTTATACTTAGTGATATGAACACATCCTGTATTCACAGTAAGTACTGAACTTCTAGGTATTCAGACAAATGCCACTGCTTGACAATACAGTGTTAGGGGTCCAACTGAGAGAATTATACGACTTCAAAGGGATACTCGCAAAGTAACCATATAGTTAAGTGCCAAAAGGCTAGTTCCTTTAATTACTTAAGTTTTTTATTCATCATCAAAATAAGTGGAAAAAAGGATAATGTTTAATTCTAGCTGCAGTCTTCTGAATTTCCTGTTACTGAGCATGCCCACAGAGTCCCTCCCTGTTTCACATGGAAAACAATAATGGTACAAATGGAATAAATCAATATTGTTTCTGTAAGATATTTCCCCCCATAGACTGCTGTTTATCATGTATATGTATATTTAGATTTACTCAGTAGTTGATTCTATGGATAATTAATCTTTCAAATATAAAAAAAGAAATTAAGAATTAAATCCTTAATTTCATTTAGTTACAATATATAGTATAGGTGAGAAAGAAATATAAGCAATCCTAACAAAAGTTAAAATGAAAAGGACTTATTGCCAGGATCTTACATCATGTGGGGAAGAAGCTGATGCGCGGAGACCATATGATGGTTATACCTTCCATACAAAAACGCCCATTTTGATATAAAATAATCAATTAATGATAAGTAATTCTAATGCAGATCAGTAAAGTAAAAATTATTGTCCCTTTGTTCATTTAAATAAATGTTCTACTCTGAAATCATCCTGTATTTTTAAATGTATTCACTGCAGGCCTTTTATAACATATACTCTTAGAAAAATACACCATACACACACTCACCCATAAACACACCCTCACAAAATAAACAGAAAAACTCCCACATACATCCAATAAGATTTTTTGAACTGAAACTAATAAAGATCATTTTTCATGCTGACAGTGCACATTTCATCCATAAGTTTGAAGAGTCAAATGCTACCACAGCTGGGGGTTATTCTGCCAAATGGCTTCCAACAGTGACCATAGAGATGGAGGATGGGAGGGGTGCGTATGTGTGTGTAGGGAAATAGCAAACCTGATGGGAAGCAAACCAAAACCCAAATCATCTTATCACTGATTATCTGACATATGCAATCAAACACACAATGAATACATGGAATACAAAATTATTGAGAAATAAAGTCAGATCTTGAAAACAAGCAATTTGTGGGTTACCTGCAGAGATTTAAACAAAAAAGCATATGAATGAATTAGATATATTTCATAGGGATTTATCCAGGGAGGAGGAAAGGAGGGGTGAGTGTGGGGGTTGGAGGGGAATAGATACCTTTTTTCTTAAACAAATCCATCATGAAAGAAAATGAGACAAGATTATAAATAAGAGGCCGAGTTATAGCGCACCATGGGATTTTTAATCTGGCTACCTGTGGTTTTTGCAGTTAAAGCTTTATTCAGCAGTCGGGGGTGGGAGGTGGAAAAAAGAAAAAAAAATCACATTTATATGTCAGTTTCGCAAATGATCAAACAGCGTGCATTATCAACAATGCTGGAAAACGGGAAACGCTTATTATTATATATATATTTTTAATAAGCATACGGCTTTTCAAATGTTATTGATCATTACCTGTGCATCTCGTTTCCTGCATTCTTGCGTTTTATTCTCGTGCTCCGTCATGGCAGCGCGGAGCTGTTTTTCCAGTTTTTCAATTTCCCGTTCGTGATCTCGGACCAGGCAATCCTTCTCTGTGTTGTGCTGCTGGAATAGGTGCGTCTTCTCCTGTTCATGCTCCAGCTTCAGCTCTACTATCTGATTGGACAATGAGGAGTACAGTTCATCAATAGAACATCCTTGTCGTCATGACAACTCGTCTACAGCTTAATTTTCCCCCCTAATTTCATCAAGTTGGCAATTTTATTTTTACGTCATTATTACCTCACCTTTTTAAAACGACATTTGGCTTGAAAGAATTCCTCCAAATAATTTGAACATTCAAGACAACTAAGCAAATCCGGTGCATCCTTAACCAATTTGTTGGTACAAATGAGGAAACGTTTAAAAAAAAAATCATTGTCGCATTCTGTGTATGTTCCCGAAGTATCCTGCTGTTGCTAATCAACAATGGTAAGGATTATAAATGGTTAAATCAGTCTGCTCTCCTCTTCATTTGAGTATACACACACACACACAAAAAAAGCAGCAATTAAATCTTTTAAAGATTTCTTTATGATTTCCAGAATCAAAGCTCTTACTTCAATAATCATCTGGGTTGTTGTATATACAGTTGTCTTTTTAAAACAATGATAAAAAAAGCAAAGCTCTATTATCTCGTTGTCAGCTACGGTATACCAACATAAACAGATGTATGTGTTCCAGAAGGGGACCTGCTGTGCGGCAAGCTTGCACCATGATTTCATAAAGAGCATTCTATTCTCAGGATCCTTTCCCAGTCCACACCACACTGGATACTGTGACCTTGGCCAGTCTTAGCCTCTCCCTGCTAGACTGAATGGCAGCCCGAGACCAAGGGCCTGGTTGCCGCAGCTTTGATACTAATCCTCCCAGACTGTGCACAATGGCACCCTACCTGGCCTGCAAACTATAGCCAGCTAGGCTGCCTTTGAAGCAGGTGATGAATAGGGGACTGCAGGAAGCCAGCTTCCCTAGTGAACTCCAGGCCACACAGCTGCTAAGAACAGTCACTTGGATTTTTCTTCAGTTTTGGTGGATTTCAGGGAGAGAAAAAAACGCCGTTAGCAAGAATATGTTGGGTTATTTTCAGCGTGAGAATCCTTCTTCAAAAAAGCTAACAGTAGGAGTCTGCTCAAAATCGATCTTGTTTGTGTAAGGAAAGCGCCCAGGCACCTGATCTTAAAGCTATAGCATTCAATTCTGGAAACATGCATTCTGCATCAACATTAGCTGTTTCGTGATTTTTGTTCTGTTTTATTTTTGTTCCGTTTCAAAACCATTCTTGCAAATTGCTGATCAGTGTATTATGAATTTAAAATTAAAATCTGTTTTCAACTCTGGAGCTCTCTGATATATCCTGGGGTGCGTTTCATTATCAGAAAAGGCACAAGCAAAAGAGAGATTTTAATATTTTAAATGTGTCTGCATCTTTTAGTAAAAGTAAAGAGCTCATTAACCCATGGGTGCAATCCCAGAAGGAGTTTAAAAAAACATTAAGCATATATTATGTGTACTTGACTTGGAATCATTATACAAAGTGCTTTAAGTCAGCCTTGTGTCAAAAACTTGTGTATATGCTATTTTCTTTTCAAACTCTGTGACTATCTGTGCCCTTAGTCTCTTTAAATGATACAACTGTTCTTACTTCCTAAAATTTATCACTATCCAGTGTTTGTCTGAATTTTAGAAAAATGAAGTTATTTTACATTTTAAAAGTTATGCAAATACATAACTGACACCTGATGAGAAATTACACTTGCAAGAGAGACCTTTATATGTCTAGTCACATATCTGTTTTCCTTTATTACTTCTAGATTTCTCTGACAGTCTATTAATTTAGCTTTTTTAGTTTTGTTTTTTCCACTTCTCCCAGCAAGCCACAGGAATAGATGGCCACATCCCCATTTGTGATTGTACTAAAATGGTAACTATAATGAAGTCAGTTTTCCCCCCCAAAACCACACATTTCTTGATTTACTATATTTATATTATGCCTGTAAGATCCTTTAAACATTTTTTTAGAAAGGATTGTCCCTCGTATGTACAGTAGGGGTGTCTTGGAGCAATAATACAGTTTTAGATATAGAAACAATGTGGGTGTGAGGAGAGTCACATTTTATAAAAAGCAATTTTGTTGCCAAAAACTTCCAAGAGCAAACAAGTCCCTGTAATTCTGATTTTTATTTATTTTTTAAAAAAGCTTAAAACTGTAGGAAGTTCTCAGATCTACCTAATACCCTTTAATAAATAATTATTATTATTGCATACTTGCAAGGAAATATAAGTTTCATTAGCAACTAAATGTACTTCCTTGTACTTTGTTTTGATTATGACTTATAATATGAAGTGAATAATTGAACAGCTATTTTAGTGCACAAGTGGATCCTCCTTGATCGCCCTGTTCTCCTAAACATATTAAGACTTTGGTTACACTACCAGTGCTACTCCATCCCTCCTCCCCTCTTATCTCTCTTTTTTTAATTTTGAAGTTTTTATTCATAAAAATGGAGATTTAATCTATACCAGCAAGAACAAGAACAAGAACACCATGCTGTTTTTCAGCAATAACCCAACACCCTCACAAGATAAAAACTGCTTGAAAACTGTATTAATGCTTCATAAACCAGCATGGGGTTCCTACCACTATGTAGTTTATCTCAGTAGAAGGAGATCTTTATTTCTTCTTTCTAATATTGGGTCCTTTCCTTCGAGGCACTGAGCACATCCTATGAAGGGTACAGCACAGTCAAGTCCTTCAGAAAGGGGTCTCTGCACCTCAAAGGAAGTGTTCCACATTTCAGGGTATTGAACCCTGACTGCAATATAATGTCAGTTCAAAGCATGAACAACAATTAACTGGTAATTTCAACAGACTCTTCTTATTTTTACAAAATATTCTGACAATTGAGTAGAGGATACGGAGCTGATGGTGCCATGCACTGCAGATAAACAAGCAACAGAGAATGACACAAAAACTATAGAAGTGGACATCATCTGAAGAAAGACTATAATATGAGAAAAATCAGAGGCTAAGGGAAACATGTCAGAGATCACAAATTTCTAGAGGAGATGGACTATAGGAATTGAGGGAACTGAGGTAAGTGCCCTGTCACCGCATTCATATTTAAATTACATTACATACAATATTGCACAGATGCTTCCCTATTTCTCCCCCAAATTATCATTAAACTACATTACTTGCTAGTAACTGGAGTTCTCTGAATAAATGGTCTCTACACGCCTGAATTCTTACTCTGTGACACCCAGTTTTCGTTTAATAACTCCCATTTATCGGCATGTTAAACACCGGACGTGTGAAATCCTGGCCCCACTGTAGTCGGTGGCAAAACTCAAAATGACTACAACAGAGTCAGGATTTCACCCTATACTTTTTAATCTTTGTTCACTGGTTGAAATTTAACAATAGTTCCCTATCCCACCTTGCCAGAGAAGGGGAAGGGAGAAAAAAAAGGAAGCAATTCTTAAGTACCAACCTATTACTAAAGATTAATCTAATAATTGTGACAAGTCATCCATTAATCACCGAAATAAAAATTTATTGTTGACCCTAAAACATAGTATGTGACCATCTTAGGCAACAATTCAGGGCATTGACAAACATTGCTACTTATCAGAGGTGATCTAATACAGTGGATGAGAACTGTACTCATTACACTTGGGGATATTGTGAAACAGTCTCTTAAGAGGAGAGTTTGCCTAATAAAGGCCTTTGCCTACACTAGGAACATTTTGGAAAAAACTCCCACAACTGCTAGCACTCACTCAAGTGAACTGGTCTCAGCAACCTTCGAAGCTCAAGGGTAGACAGCCTGCTGGCTGCAGAGAACGTTTTCAGCATTACGTACATTGGAAAGCAGAAGTCACAGAGCTCCTACTGCCACTACCAATGATGGATGTTTAAAAAAAATATCCCTAGTGTAAACAAGATCTTCCACAGGTTTTGCTTTGACGACTCATAAACTGTACTTAGGCTTTTCCCAGAAAAGTTAAGCTCATGAATAAGTGGGAACTGTAAAATGATTTTCAAACCACAATGGGAGGGAATTGGAGTAAGTTACGTGTCTAAGTGCCTTTTCGAAAACCTATTGCTGTCACAATAAAGATTTCACATTGAAGTATGAAAATTCACTTAAATCAACAGTTCACAACTGAGGAAATAATAAAAATACTGTATATCATGATCTGTCTATATATAAAATAGGATTTTTCTAACTATTGTAAATATATTAAATTTATTTATGAAAATATTGTGAGCTTGTCTCTCCCTAAAATAAAAGTTAATGGTATTTGGCACATCCGTAGAGTTTCCCATGAGGTTCTCAAGGGGCAACACAAACATAGAAGAATTCAGCTTTACAACTGCTACCTGAGGTAAGTATAATTACCCCCATATTACTGCATATGGAAAAAGAGGTACAAGGATCATACAGGTAGTCTGTGACAGAGCCAGACTCAGACATCAGTCCTGGTAGTGAAACCCCACACATCTGAAACACAGGCCATTAATTTAGATACCTAAATAGGGATTTTCTTAAAATCTTTTTTTTTTTAAATATATATGTGCTTCACTACACACATAGAATCATAGATTATTAGGGTTGAAGGGACCTCAGGAGGTCATCTAGTCCAACCCGCTGCTCAAAACAGGACCAATCCCCAACTAAACCCCCAAATCCTTAAATGGCCCCCTCAAGGATTGAACTCACAACCCTGGATTTAGCAGACCAATGCTCAAACCACTGAGCTATCCTTCCCCTATCACACAAAGTGTGATATCTCAAAAGCTGTACACCCTTGTGTATGTTGTTTGTGTACACACACTCATTTATATAAAATATTCACATAAACATGTACAGTCTGAGTGGGTACATACATGATGGTTTGGTGTGTTATAAAGATTTTATCAGTAGGCGTTTCAGATGATTGCATTTCGTAGGGCTGGGGAATCTAACAGCGAGTTATACAGGTCATCCTAAACTAGTGACAACGAAGTCTTTATATCAAACTACATCATTGTGTAGTGTGCATGTAGCACATAGAAGCTCTGTAGTCAATCTTACGAAAGTTTTAGAGACTTTTAAAATATTTTATTGGGG